AAGTATTTATTTTGGGTTCTATTGTCCGCAAGCAATTGATACTAGCAAAGATAACAACGCTACAATTTTATTTCTCGTTTACAGAGGTGTTCTACCAAACAATAAAATTGGTTTTGCAAAACTAATGGAAGACAACGGTTCGATGCATAAACTGCTTGCTCTCGGTAATAAAGGTTCTCTTCAATTATTCATGAAAGGGTACTACACCATGACATGGAAGGACACAGACTTTAGACGAAATATAAAGGTACAATGCTGTACAATGACAGTGCTAATAAACACTAAGGACTCTTAGTAAATCAACTATTCTGATCTCTTTCAGCGGCGTGGTTTAGATGACAAGAAAAAGCTCCCTTACTTTCCCTATCGTGATGACGGTGAACTTCTTTATCGTTCAATCTACAGCTTCGTTGATGAATACATATCACAGTAAGTTAATTTTCCATTTTTTCCCATTTCTATCAAGTTTAGAAAATTATTTAACAAAAGTGGTCACAGTTATTCGATTTTCCCGTAAGCTACTACCTAAGTGACGTTGAAGTAATAGAAGACAAAGAGCTGCAGGCTTTTTCAAATGAGATGTCAGCAGATGGAAAAGGTGAAGACGGTGGAAATGGAAAGGTTGGTGAGTCTTTGGTCGGTTTGTTACCTAATAAACTCAAACTAAAATGATATCCTTTGAATCTGTTATATCAGCTGAGAGGATTTCCAGCCCAAATCACAAGCCGAGATCTCCTCAAGGACATCATAACACGACTTATTTGGACATCCAGTGCTCAGCATAGTGCTGTCAACTATCCTGTAGTGCCATACGCTGCGTTTATACCAAGCATTCCGTGCAAAATATACGATGATACCAGAGTACCCAATGATACATTTAATATATATCGTCTTCCAAACAGAAAACTATCCGGGGTAAGTTGGGGAGGTGCGGAGGACGGGGAGGACGGGGAGGACGGGAAGGGGATGAACGGGTTTGAAGGGGGATAGGCTAAATTCATTTCTGACCAGAACAATCAATCTCCTTATACTTAAAATGAAAGGAAAAAGAACATCTTCAAGTCATGTAATTTTTTTGTACCTATACTCGTAGTATGTTTTAACATTAAAATACAACCATGTGTCATATAGACATAGAAAATATCAATGGTATCTGTGAAGAATTGTCGGGCTAAAAACTAAAACATCGTATTCTCGAGCGTGTTATTACTATTGTTCCATTTACCGTTCAGTGAAATGTACCTGAAGTATGAAAAATCTTTGCAGGCTCAAACAGCAATTTCTCTGGCTCTTGGGTCCTTACACATTGACGATCTGTTGGATTATGGACCACAATTACCGGACAAAGCGGGAAGCGAGATTGTCAAGAAACATTATCGTCATCTTGTCACTCAAGTGAAGAGACAAATGGATGACCGTAATRAAGAACGACTTCAACTGGGCTACCTGACCTACCCTTGGCTTACTCCTGGATGGGTACCTAACGGCATTAGCACTTAGAACAATTATGGACACAACAAAACATGTTCTGCTGAAAGGCGTTTGTTGATAGATATAACAATCAAATATTATGAAATTTTAAAAATGTCAAAACAAAAACATTGACAGAAATGGAGATACAGTAAGTTTAAATACATTAACATTCTACATGTACTTGTCCTCCAATTACGTATTTTATAAAGGCATTCATTAATCTATTAATTAATCGATAATCTATTAAATTATTCTAATTTGTTTCTACATATTTTGCTCAACTAATAAACCGAATACTTGTTTTGAAATTATTAAACATAATTTTAATAAAAATTAAAAAAAAAAATGTATTTTAATACATGTGAATTTTTACATAATTTTAGGATTGATTGACTTTATGTTAATTGGCAGTTCGGGTACTGCATTTAACTGGTGAATTTAGACTAATGTTGTGAATGAATTGTCATTGAAATACAGAATGTTATACTCTCCTACTATCTGAGTCCTTCACACCAGACGGTTGGACCAGTATTTTTGTTAATAACAATTCTCAAAGAATAGAACTTGTCGCAGTGTTTCGTTTCGTCTTTGCCGCTGCAACGCTCCATTCTACATACCAAAAACAAACATTTTCTTTCAATATAAAAGTGAAAACAAAAAAAGAGCAAAAAAGAATGAGTTCCGTAAATACATAGCCGGACATCAATGGGCGTGGTTTATTGGTGGAATTGACCAATCAAAGCGTGCATTGTATAATACAAAAATGCAATGTTTTTAATCACTTTTATATCTGATTACAATTAAACAATCCCCTTTATAAATTCCAATGTCTATCGCTAAGTAATAGAGAAATGATACTGCGACTGATACTGATTTAAAACTTAAGAATAATCAGAAGTCCTGGTATACATATAAATACCCCTTATTCATGTCCGTGCCTTGTGGTGTCACATGGTAACGCAATTTGTTTAGTCACTTGTTTGTGATCACGAGTCTCAATAGAGATGTCAGGGCTAAAACATCTTAAATTGATAAAAAATCAGATAAACACCTACCTTCCACAGAATAACTAAATCATCACTTCCACAAGATGCAAATCCCTCCAAGCCACAGTCAACTGCAGTCTATAATAAAGGACATTTTATCAACTCACTTGTACATGGTTCACCTGTGTGTTGTGGRTATCTACTTCTAATGTTTCAGTACATACTTTCATAGTATGCAGTACGAAAATTGCTGTACTCTACTTACATGGACTGTACCAGAGTGAGCCAAACACTCCCCCAGTAGGGTTGGTTCTATAGGCTCCTTTGCTTTCAGTACTTCCTTTAAGCTATTTTCAAAGAAATATTTGATCAAACCAATTTACAATATAGGGCATGGGGCGTTAAGAAAGTGACTTTTATTGTAAGTAAAAATCATTTTTATGTTAGATCAAAATAACATTAAGTTGATTTCATAATACTATCATCATTTTAATACCTCAAACCAAGGAATTTTTCTATTTCAGAAGCTTGGCTACAATTCTCTACAACTACAGGGCATTGTGATCCCCACAGTCGAATTGCACCATCCTCAGAACAAGTCCCAAGAAGGAACCTATAATAACACCATCATAGATGCCATGAATTATAAATGATTTCCTTTCCTTTTCAGGGTCCTTACAGATTTTTACATATAAAATTCAAGGACTTTTCAAGGACTTTTTAAGGATTAATTTTCAAGGAYACCAATTACAAAGAGAAAGATACAGTTAATAAACTTACTAGTCCTGTGTCTTACCAAACAGAACAATAAAAACATTGTAGTCAACTTTGTTTAAGAACTTTATCTCTTGGAACATATTTTTCTCAATCGCTATTAATTCCTTTACCACCATATTGCACAATAGTACAACAGACATTGCTAAAAGGATTGAAATATTATCAATTTGCTTCAAAGCTTGTCAAAATTGATCTCTAAAACATTACTTCACAACAACCAAGACTGATTCAAGGACTAAATTATCATTTTCAAGGACCTTTCCTCCAAATTCAAGGACTTTTCAAGGAAAATTTGCATTTAACTACTTTCCAAGGACCTAGCTCCAAAATCAAGGATTTTTCAAGACTGTACGAACCCTGATTTTTCAATTTGTCATTGTGATCTCTTACCCATTGCATAACAAGAGCGAGTGAACAATCTTGCCACTATGTGCAGCTTTGACTTGAGCAAGGCAACGACCTGACAGTTAACGATGATTGATAAACATTAATACACAAGTGATAGCAGGGGAAATATGCACTCAGTAAATCAGGGGGGAGTACAGCATTGACAAACATTTTTACAATAGTAAGAAAAGTAAATATTGTGTCTGCAAAACACACAATGAATCAATATAAACAGATGGAGGTTGTTGGTTAAACAGGGGGAAGCATTCACAATCAATCAGGGGGGAGGATGTCTGTGTTACCTGACAAAGCATCATACACAAAGAAGCCATGTCCAATAGAAGCAAAAATGTATCTCTAAAGAAGATATATTATTATTATTATTATTATTTTATACTGTGTTTGACAATAAAACAGTAGACCTATTTTGGATTTGGTTGATATATAATATATTTTTTACACTGTAACTGTTGATACCAGTTACATGTATAAGATGGAATGAGTGTAGATTAGTGGGTTAGTTACCATCATCTCATTAATATACTCTTTACCTGATCTACAGCAAAGAGATGTTGCACACTGTAAGGAAACATATGATCCGTGCCTTCATAGTTCTTCATGTAATTCATCTGTCCAGTATATGACAATGATAATGTACTCCATAACACTATAGCGCCGTCTAATGAGGCTGAAGCAAACATGCTGTCTGTAAAACAAAATGTACATAAGACAATGACAATGTACTCACTATAATTGGGTAGGAATACCCTGTCAGATGGGAAGGGATGGAAGGGAAAGAACAACCCTATCAGAATGGATGGGAATGAAAGGGATAAAGCTATTTCATGAGAGAAAAATGGGAATATAATTACCTGCAACACTTATCAAACATCTAATGCTCTCTCTCTGAGGAGAAAGTTTCTTGAAAAGTTCAATTTGGAGACAGTTGTTACTGGACTGGCGAACAATGTGGTARACAGCTTAAGATAATAAAAATCACTATCAGTAAAATACTGGTAATTTAATGGCATTTATAAGTCTACAATCATATTTATTTCATTGTTATCCAATAAAAAAATGAACAGAACTTTGCACAATTTCTTTAAGACCATCACATCCTCTTTGAAAGAATAYGTAAACCAGCTGTCAGTACATACCCAGAGATGACTTGTTAGAAGCAGTGATCACTCTACTGTTCTTGATTGGTAACACTGTGTGAATGTCAGCTACAATAAAATGTGAAACACTTCATCAAACTGAAAGCCATCATAATATGAATACAAACAATCAACTTACAGTGTTCTAGTTTTCTTTCTAGTTTATGTAGTAAATTTCCCTGTTCATCCCATAAACATAAGTCTTGCCCACCAGAAAAGAAAACGTTTTCCTCCTTCATTGAGACAAGACACTACCAAAGATACAAGAGAGTAGAGTCAAAGTACACTGTTATTACCTGTATCTTGGTTGTATTGTTTATTATTTTATTTTGTCAACACTTCAAGGACTATTTCTTGAGGTCAAATCTTTAAGCTTGCAGGACAAAGAAAACACTGCTACTCCCCTGGAGGCTCCAGTCTAAAGCTTTGCCTTATGATAAAGTTATATTGTAAAACTCATAAATAATTAATGAGGAAAACACAATAGAAATCACAATCGTTAAGAGTGTTGTAATATTTGATACAACACGGCTGCTCATGTTGTAAATATTACTTGCAATTAACTGTTTTACCTTTACAGAACTATTGTGTTCTGTGATGGTACGTAAACAAAGACCATCTTCAATATTCCATACCTGCACACAATTAAGGGTAAATGAACTTAAAGGACAAGTAAAGTAATGTAAATCTGTGTTCTGTAATGACATTTTAGTGCAAGGTATGAGATTCGAGAATTCATAGCTTATGGTCTGCTGATTTATTTCTCTTCAATAAAATACAAGCTGCAAGAATCATGTGTGTTAAAAGATATAATATGATTATATATAATAATAATTTAACATTTATAATGCGCACGGTCCATGATAGAAAGATGCTCCCGTGCGCTTTACAATAATATGATTAATAAGATTCATTGCAAAGGAAATKTTTGTGAGTTTACAGAGGTTCAAAACTCTTTTAGTAATGATTACCTCAAACCGAACAAACTCAACTATACAATAAAAATAAAACTGAAAGTTCACTGAATATTGAAGTTCATTCACTTTTGAGGAAGAATATTTTGAAATCGGTTCTAGTGAAGTTCAGAGTTAACAACACCATATGGCAGTAAGTTTAACCTTTGGATTAAACCACATCTTTATATGAAACATTACACAGGAAATAATGGTAAATTATTAGAGGTCAATAAACTTCAACCTATGTCAAGGATACACAGATTATTTTGTCAGAAGAACCAGTCAATAGGAGAAGAGAAGAGTCGTCACTTGAGATATCTTGGTGTTTATTTAGGACAAGCATACAAGTAATTGGTCGGCTGTGACCTTGAAGTATGTGAAGTCTTTTTCCTGTCTTTGGTACACAAACAGATTTCAAAACAATAATTAGATCATGTATTCATACAATTGAAATTAAACTAGTTGGTAGCTGTCTTCTGGCTACCTGGGTCACCTCTGCCGGATGGATGACAACAGAGTTCCTAAACAACTTTTAAAGGTCTGATTTGGCAAGTGGTTCGCATCCTGTTGGTCCTATTATTCTTTAATTAGCTCACATGATTAATTTATTTTCCCTTTTTATGATTCAACTGTCTTTCATTCATTTGTGCATGCATCCATTTAGTTATTTATCCTTTCTTTATATATTTATTCTTCCACCCATCTTTTCACTCACTCATGCATTGCCATTCATTCATTCATTCTTCCCTCCTGTCATAAATTTATCCCTTTYGTTTATCCATTCATTTATTCATTCATTTGTCTGCCAATCAATCAACTATCCCTACCTGCACATCCCATAATACTGCTGTATTATCATCTGCAGCCGATGCTAGTCTACAAGAGAAGAATTACCATAATTTTGATATATTTACGTTACATCATTCAAAGCAACTTACATTCTATCATCGATGACCATTAGAAGATGTACAATGTTCTTGTGGCATGATAGCAGTAAGATTTCTGTGAATGGATTCCTGGTTTGATCATCAGTAATTTCTGGTATATTTTCAGCCTAGAATATTTACACAAGGGCATATAATATTTCCATCCAAAAAAAATATCAGCAAATTAACCAAAATCAGAGAGCGCGCATCTACAGCTTTATAAGACAAGTCAAGACTTGACAAAGATGTTTACCTCTGATCTCTCAATCTTTGACACCTTTTTTTTCCAGTTCCTTGTACGAAACATTTCTTGGTATGAAAACTTACAAATCAACAGCACAAATACTTGAATTGGAAACTAAAATTCTCTCTAATCGAAATGTTTTGTAGAGACAGCCCACTTCTTTCACGTTTTCCGCCATCTTGGAATGATTTTGTCATGTGACCAAATAACCTGGATTGCATGGGCTACCTGTGCCGCTGCGGCAACCACGTCACATTCAGTGAACAATTTTTCTTCGATTTTTTCCCTTTATTTTTCCGCTTATTCCCCTTTGGTTCGTTCCGTTTTGCTAAACTGCGACTTGGAAAAATAATAATAATAATAAAATAAATAATAAAAAAATAATAAAAAAGTGGCTGCATTAATTCCGCACACATAATTTTTCTTCATGAACAGTGCTTTTATTGTATTATCAAAACAATTTGTGAGCAAATTGCTATTTTATGTTTTGTAGTTCTGGATTTAAACGAAAATTTTTGCGTAAATAAAGAAGCCTGACTAAGAGTGGCACTACATTAATATACAAGATAAATAAATGAATGCAAAAATATAAAATAGCGGAGCTTCGGGTTTGGCTGTAGGCTGTTAACCTACGCCTGTAAAAAAAACTTGATTTACTTCTCCTTTTTGTGACGAAAGGCCTTATGGGTCCTCTCGTCACTACGTCATCGTGTTGGGTGACCGAACCGTAACCATCCACTTGTAGCAGGCGTTCCTTGCGAGTCCTTGATATGTTAAAGTTGAAAAAAAAATCTATAGAGGAAAAAAAAACAAACAAACGAAGTATCAACAGCTAGAGCAAAGAAAAGAAAAAAAGAAAAAAGAAAGAAGAAAACAAAACAAAAAAGAAACGAAAGGAAAAAGAAAGTGCACAAGCGAAAAAAAGAGAAATTCCAGCAGCAGGATTCGAACTCAGGACTTTCACTTCAGGAAAAGACGTACACCCCCCCCCCCCCCCCTCTCCACCGGAATACATAAGAAATAATGAAAATAAAAAGCTAAAAAGATGGGACGATTCCCCCGAGACATTCTATGAAGCTGAGGCGTCGAATCGGCTTACGTTACGGTTAGAGATTTCGGCTCTTCCACGCTATCCCGAGTGAACATAAAACTTAGTCTTAACCAAAAGGCCAGGGAGTGAGGGGATAGCCGCCCACTAGAGCATACCTTTAGCTACCCTCTTAGACCATCGTACTATGAAGACACTTATAGATATCTGATATCTAATTGGGGTAGTCTATTCGGTGAAATTCTATGCTAATATATGACGTCACCAAAATCCTTAGGGAGCAGCGAGCCAATCAGAGCACAGCTCATTGGGGTAGTCTATTCGGTGAAGTTCTACGCTAATATATGACGTCATCAAAATCCTTAGGGAGTAGCGAGCCAATCAGAGCTCAGTTCAGGAATAAGCAAACGATACAGGTTTGAATAATCATTCTTCAGTGGATTTATTATTTGACTGAGGGGGGTGGGGATGGGTGCTCGCAGAGTGCTGGTTTGTGGTCGAATACCGATGTTCGATGTAATGTGACGGCTTTCAACAAGCTGTTCAATTTTCACTTATTGTTTTCCAAATCATCACAGGAAAATTAGGTGTAGAGTTCTAATATCAGACAGACATTATATTATTAGTATTCGGATAAACACAACGGCACAAATCTCTTGAAATTCTTAACGTAAGTGGTTTATATTACAAACCAGACAGATATTTGCTGGGATTCAACGGAACACAATTAAAGACGTTCCACATTTTCGTTCTTGATAATATAAAAGTTAACAAATTATTGAATATAAATATAGCGAATGTTAACAATTGAAGAGGATGAAAAACTGTAATCAGGCGAATGATAGTAATTTTAAAACATGGTGTAAAAATATGCAGTTTAGATAATAAAAGCATTTTATCGAAGAAAACGTTCGAGAATTAATCATGAGTTTATAAGTCAACAGRTACAGAAAGATGTCTTTGATTACAGCTAAATTAAAGCTCTAAGAACTCCATGTTGTGGATAAAAATTCCTTTTCCGAATCTTTTAGATTGATATGTTTACTGTAAGCAGGGAAACAGGGCGCCACGCGTCAGGCCTCACGGGAGGAATGATCAACCATCACAATAGGTTCCTTGGCCCCTGGGAATCGCCGCAACGTAATGGTTGATCGCCACGTGATGCTTCCAGTTCCTTGCAGCTTATACAGATTATTCAGAAAACGTTGTATATTGAAGATAGTGTATTCGAAGTTGTTAAATCTGCCTGAGTCACATGCAGTCTTCGACTGCCTACTTTTTATTCTTAGTTTCAGCTGACTTACAAATAGACTGATGACAAATAGACAGCATGTTTCTTTATGTACAAGTAATTTTATTGAAAAATCACTGAATTGACCTGAATATTTTCAGGCGTGGTCAACCCGTCTTCAATTCTTTGGATGAAGTCTTGCGCCTAAATACAATAATTTTATATTGGATATAGATAATATTTACAATAATATAATAATTTGAGTATGAATGTTCCTCGCCGCAACCGTTGTTTTTTTCATCAAAGGAAAGAATAGTAAAATTCATGACTAAAACTGTATAGTTTATTACTATAGCGCGTTTTACGCTGAATGTTCAATTGGTTCCTCGTAGAAAATATTAACGTATTAACAGATTTGGGTTCCCTGTGTTTTTCATTATGATACTGAAGATTTCTAGAGGGAGTGGGGTGGGGGTCTGTGTGGAGACGGGGTAAAGAGAAATCATGGTTTTCTCTATTTTTCACCCCACCACCACCAGGTAGAGTAATAAGAAACGACAACCAAAGTAAAACAAGAGTCTATCAATGATGCTCACAGGAAGTCCCGAAGTAAGTACCACTTATTTAAGGTGGCTGCACAACTTTTTTAGAGCCACCTTAAAGTACATCAATGATTATAAGTCATCCAGTTATTTCGCTACAAGGACAAAGTTCTTGGTAAAATATTTTCATGTGTGGGGTTGTGAGACGGACGCGAGTTGTTTGAGTGTAACTGCTTACGACAGCAGAAAACATACGAAATATATCTCGAATACTCGCGACGGAAATACTTGGTTAATGTCCCATACACTATTGGATTTAAACAACTATGTACGTACACCAAGATATCAAAAAACCTTAGAATCACAGCAGCAACAACTTTGTTCTTTCCTTCATCGTAAAAGTCTCCTAACAGCCAGGCAATGTGTCCAGGAAGCATGCATATGGCAAAAAGTACTACAATCGTTGCCAATGTCTTCACAATCTGAACGTTTTCCTTTCGTCTTTTTTCACGTCCCTTACGATCCGTTGCGGTCCATGCTGAGTTAAGGTTTCTTGGCTTCCATAGATCAACAGCGATCCATACGTAAGCAATAGCAATGAGCGTCAAAGGTAATACATATTGTAATATAACAAGTACGATAGTATAGATTTTCCCATCCATTTTGGACAGCCAATCTTCCTTACATCCTCCCACAGGATTGGACGTCGCAACTATCATCAACGGAAGCAGAAGAATTAATGAACAAATCCAAGTTAACGAAATGGCGCGGTAGATGTTACGCTGTCTTATATCCGGCCTAAATGAATGCAGTATCACGTGACATCGACATATAGCCATTAATGTCAAGGTAAAGATACTAACTGTATTCGATACCGTCATCATTGGCCATACTACTTTACAGACAAAATCGGGAGAATTGAATTCACCATAATACAAAACCATTACAGGAACAGAGAATACCAGTAATGTTAAGTCAGCTACCGCTAGATTAATGATGAATACATCGTTTGAAACACGGCGGATTTTGCGCGCCAAAATTACGAGTACCAGTGTATTACCGCTGACACCTAGTACTAGCGTGAACAGGTACAAGACTAGTTTAATGTGTTTTTCTAAGTCTGTGACTTTTTCATAGTTTGTTGGATTCGCCATGGTGATGTAGATAGTGTTTTTGTAACAGCATGTAACAGTTTTCAGCTCGCCGCCCACGCTGTTAATAAACTCAAGAAAAGTACCTCACTATGACAACGGTGACGCAAATTTGTTAGCTATCTTGAGTTTGATTGTCGTTCAAGCTGTCTTCAGACAGCATCGACTTATTAGGTTCAATTAGCGTGATGGTTTGATAAAACCAGCAGCTTTCTCATTTCAGTATCCAGCTACTTTTTGCAGTCTTTATCTTCTTGATCTAATGTTCAATGATATCAAACACCTGAATTTAGTGAGAGTTTACAACCGAACCGACAGCTTGTAGCGTTTTTCTCTTCCTTTGTTTCTGCGTTGAAGTAGGTTTTTTTTTCATGAACACCACCAGGCGTTCTTAATCAGCTCTGCGTCTTCAGGTCGTTATGTGGGACTTTTTTGAAAGGTTTTAGGGTCTGTTTCTCAGCCTTCACTATCGTCTTCTTCTATTCTGACAGTCTTTCCCAGTCTTATTTGTTTCTGAAACAAACCATATTTATTGAGTTCTCTTTGCCCAGAGAAATTAGCGATACTATATATATTACAACATCACTACCTAACAAAGAAATAAATGACGCTCATTTTATGTCTTTTATCGGGAACACTACTCGGATATTGCACATCCGTCCTGAGAAAGTACTGACATACTAATTACGTCCAAATATAAATGATGTTAACGAACAGACTGCAAAAGCCCTTGGGCGATGCATGAGAAAAAACCCAAAAAAGTCGCACTGAAATGTTGTGTTTTATCCAATTAGTTAAAAACCAAAAATATTAAGCTTGGCCAAAAACAAATATACAAATTGTATTAAGAGTTCGTTTTTTCGATACTCACTAAAAATGTTGTTCTATTTTTGTTCTAAAAGACTCCAATCAGACATAATAAATTAATAAACTGAATCGACTTCCTCACATGGCAAAAATCGCATGATTATGTGAACAACAGATGGTTTTCAAGAAGACACTGGGGTGAAGTTGCACATGAAAAAAACAATTCGTCGCGACATCTTATCTTCTAGAAATGACATGCAAGTAAAACAGAATATTTCCCTGAAACATCTTTTCAATCTTTCCATGCACATCAGTTTGCAAACTCTTTGGGAATCCCTTCTTTCTTAGTTTTCTAAATTTTGAATAAAGCGACCAACTGATTCATTCAATATATCTTGCATATCAAGAATACAATTTGCAAATACATGATTAATTTTGTGCGTTAACATTTATCACCAAAAGTATATATGTGTGGTTGTAGAAAAACAAAATACTTTTTCTGTGCGAAGGAGAGCAGTGACAGAGCACAAAAACACGCTTCAACGTGCGCTTGAGACCTTCAAAACGTTTACATCTTTCATCGTCAGGTTGTTGTCTTCGCTTTGATGGTGTGTTTAGCACATTTAAGGTATAATAGATTAAGTATATTAGTAAAAATAAGTAATAAAGACACTAAAGCCTAAATAATGTTATGAACTCCAGAACTCACCCCGTTATGTTTGCGAAATGACTAATTGCACTGAGGAGGTGCTAGCCGGGCTGCAGATAGTGACCATGGGACAAATGCACCCCATATAAATCAGTGTATTAGAAAGCTTACAAGATCGGAAATAAGCAGTCCTTGTCGCTTTACAACAAATTGCACAAAGTTAAATTGAATTGATCTAAATCTTCTACTGTCAAGACATCGTAGTGTTTCCGCGGTATTTTCGCATGATTGGATTAACCTTTTCTTACATCCTGACAGCCCATTTGCAACGACATATATCTGTTTAAAGAACGCCATTGTCTAAACAATTCCCTTGGCTGTGTACTGACAGCGATTAGTTTAAGAATATTACATGGGATTGAAGACACGAGCCGCATCCGTACATTGTATTAAACGTTGTCCAAATTGTCTTTGGGGTCAGGAACGTTTGCGCAAATGGTGGCAGAAGCGGTCCGGATCTCAGTTATGTTAATGATGACTTGTGTACAGTGTATTTTGATGTTTTTCCTAAACTCTTACAACTATACAGTTAGTGGGGTCTCTCTTATCGTGCTTAGTGGGGTTAATGGGGTCTCTCTTAGGGTGCTTTCCATTTAGGCAGAACTGGCCGGCCAGTCCACTCCATTTAGAGGTATATAATGCTTTTTGTCAACATTTTTCAGTCATTTCGAGGTTTTCTGTAGAATAATGGATAGAATTTGAAAATTTGAATTTCCTAACTAAATGGGAATGATATATAATGACATTTTCTCAGCTGGGTCTGGCCAGCCAGATGGAAAGCGCACTAAGATCGCAGACGCTAAAAAAACTTTTCAAAATTAAAATCTAACATAAAATCATATGATAGTGTTTATAGAATCATCACTCGCTTTCAATGTTGTTTTATTCATAACCTAATGGTTTTCTCAGTGGTTGGAGAAAAGAAATGCAAATAAAGCTTGCTTGGCCTTCTAGTGTCGATTAGGGTATTTTGTAACTTGGCTATTAACTAAATCTTTTTTTTACCGAGAAACATCTGTTTTCAAGAACCAAAGTTGCAGGCTAAAAAGACCAAATTAAGCTAGTATACCATGATTAGTAAATGCGGTACTACGCAAAACACGTTACAGTTGAAGTCGGTCTTCATGCCCGAAGCCAGACGGACGTGATCCGGAGTAGAGCTTGCGTGTTGACGCTCAACAACTTTACTCCAAGCTAATTTTCATTTGGCTTTTAGAAATCATCAGAAAATTTGAATTGTGCTCTCGAAGTACCCCTCGAATATGGGTCAGAGTCATTTCTAATTCCTTATCTATAATGGGTTTCATCTCCAGTAAGACTACTTAGAGGCAAAACAAGGAAATATTAACTGCAGTTAGGTGGACTAACACTAAGCCGCTGAAAAAACGCTAAAAAAGAGCGTTATATTTGATTATCTGTACACAGATGAATTATACTCAGTACAGCTCAGTACGTTGCGCTATGGTACTTCACAACGAGAAGGGGAAACCGTTTCTAAAATGTCACCGAGTTAGCATTGATGGTGCCATCATATCTCTATATTTTCCTGTCAAGTTTAAGCTATTTACTATGTTCATTAATGTTGTAGAGTTTATAGAACACCAGCCAATGCACATCTATCAATAAACTTCTATGTCGTGACATAGAATCACTTACATACAGTTTGACATACCTCGCTTAAGTCTATTGTTCATCTATCGATTCCCAACGCCGGATTTATGGTCAGAACTTGCCGTCGATTTCTGATTTTTAACATCAGATTAGAACTTACAGGTGTTATATAGCGCTATTTTACACACCGCCTTGTTTTGGTATACGAAAACACAGTGTAAACGTTTCACAAAATATCATTAAAGTTGCAATTCCGCCTCAACCGGATATCGTTTGAATATGCCAAATAGCATCTTCAATTTAAGGCATATGACTGTTCAATAGCTCTCACAAGCCTCTCGAAAGCCCCGTCTTCAATCCAAACATTCCCTCCACAATGTCGTCTCTTATTTCAAAATTCCTTTCAACATAAATTATAACGTCATATGAAAGCCCTAGGGTCTGTATTTGATTCTTTAAGAGAGTCTGTACGTGTGAAAGCCCGTCAAGTCTAGAGGATTTCATTAATGTTCTGAAGAGTTCTTGCGCTTATTTAACGTAACAATCTCACTAACTCCTTAGCACAATTCCTCATTCAATATTGATTTTCTACTTATTCGATAAATGGCAAAAATAACACTCATTTATATATTTTGACAAATTGTGAATTGTATTCCGCGGTAGTTATTCCGGAGAATTAAGGGAATTAGTCGCCACGCAACACGAGATTAAGGTCCTCTGAATCCAGTGGTTAACAAGAGGGTTGACCGAGTATATGGATTCATGCGCGTACATGTTAATATGCTGTAGAGGTCAACAACTACAGTTTGTTGATGTCAATGTAAACTGTGCATTTCCCTTGTCAAGGAAGTGTTTTACCCACGTTTACATTAAAAACTGTATGATTACAGGAAAGACTTGCTTTATCAATCCATAACATCTATTTGTTTTGGTATCCCTTTCTTTCATTTTTCCTCTTTTTTCTCTTTAACTATTTATCTATTTTCATTCATTACTGTTTTCACTGTTTCCTATCGCCTTCAGTGTTCAAAATGAGCTTCATTGGTTCACCCATGCCATTTCATTTCCCATCCATCCTTTCATTCATCCACACATTTCATAACCCATCCATCCTTTCATTCATCCACACATTTCATTTTTTCGAATTACTCGTCCATTTCTTGTTGCACTTTTTCATTCAATAGTAGTGAATACTCTAACTACCGTGTTTATATTCTCTTTACTTTCTTTTATTGCACCTGTTATGGTGATTCTGCTCACTGAAAGAGAAAGGGTTTTCTGTTATACAATTAACTGTCTGACAGTTCCTACTGTGCTGTCGCTAGTTGGCAAGTATTTCAGGCCACACTTATAGTATACAATACTGGGCCTCTTACTTGGGTGCTTCTAGAAGTAGGGATTAACCCTTCAGAGATAATTTGCTGACATTCCGGTGCCGACTAATAACTCAAGCTGTGCAACCTCACACACAACATAAAACTATTATAGTACACACGTTTATCACTTAGCGAAGAGTTAAGATATATACTTTAAAGAGAGGCAATATTTATCGTTACAATGGTAACACTAAGTGGAGATGATGATGTCATCCTTTCGGCATGACGTAGTGGATCTTGCTTAAAATACGCAGCCATTTTCTATCAATCTTTGATGTTGTTTAATTTATTTTTATTTGATATAAAAATTTCTTAAAAGGCAAAGTTATTATCAGCAATTAGCAATTATTAATACTACTTATTTATTCAAATATCCACAGGTTTTTTATTGGTTGAAAGCTACCAATAACCTTGACGTACAACAATTAACATATCTTGCACTCTCACATCATGCATTGCGTAACAACTGTGTGACCACGTAGGGATGTTATCGTATGATTTGAAAGTGTATTCATACTTCGGAACTTGCTATCTGTCTTACCTTGAGGCTTCCTTCAAATGAAACGCCACATCAAACCATATTGCATAAAATTCTTTATATTATACCCAATCCAATAATAATTCTTCATATCATACTAAGCCTAAGCCAACAATTCTTCATAACATATTAGCTATACCTCAACCAATAATTTTTCATATCATACTCAACCTCAACCATTAATTTTTCATATCATACTCAGTCCCAATCAATAATTCTTCATATCATACTCAGCCTCAATCAATAATTCTTCATATCATGCTTAGCCTCAACCAATAATTCTTCATATCATACTCAGCCTCAATCAATAATTCTTCATATCATACTCAGCCTCAACCAATAATTCTTCATGTAAAAATCTGCCCTAACAAATAGCATTTTATAACCTTCAATATGTAAGCTTTAAATATTTTTCTGCTTGAACTATGTTTTCGAGACATGCCAGCTGAACTATACACCCTTGATGTAATTCAAAATGAATTTTCGTAAAAGAAATTTTGCTTCCGTTAAGTCGCCCGAGTGAATTAGCGTTAAAGACTATAAGTACCTCGAGCGACATTTCCCTTTGTTATGATAATTAACGCAAAAGGAGATCACATTTTTTTCTTATAACTACAATARCCAATGACACGTAAGTTTCAAATCTTCACAGCTACTTAGTAAGACTGTCGAAGAGACCATGTAAGAGCCATTCAATCAAGATAAATGATCTTTAAAGTGGGGTAAAAGTTAAAAAATGGTAACGGTTATTTCTTATACTTGCTCTTCGGTACGTGTTTCTCATTACATACCGATAAAGAGACGAAAGAGGGCGAAAAATGTGAATTTAGTTGGTGAAAATCGAGTTTTCATTAAGTGGTAATCGTGAAGGAAGTAAGATAAATATCATAAATAAGGCGCAGAAAGTTGATTATCAAAGTATTCAGTTTTTTTTTACAATTCAGTTATGAAATGCAATCTCGTTTGCCTCTTTATACTTGAATTGACACCCAGCTGAGCTTAAAACTGTTTCTATTGAAAACTCACAGTATGTACTCGGTAGCTATTTGATTTTTCATTTTTACAATCCAATATACCTAGAACGTACGCTTTAAGTCTAGATCTTCTTAATTTTTTTTTCGATTTTTTTTTCGAAAAAGAAAACAGGCACTACCACTGAACGGCGTTTTGCAAAACAAAGAGAATTCTACAATGGACCGTGATCCATCAAAACCCTATTGCCATCAAAACGCATCAAATTACATCGTAAAAATGTAGTATCTCTACTGAGAGTCACTTACCTATTCAAAAATCTTGAAATTCTAAACTACTGCGGACAAAACACTGCGATTTTGGCTCTCTTTTCATCCCTGTAAATTTGTGATCATTGATATTTGTATAATCCGTACTTTGAACTAGTCATAAACGAAAACCTCGGCTTTGCACATGAAGGCGCAAATAGGATTATATATGCGTCAATCTAGTTCTCTAATCGTAGCATACTGATCGAGTTTGTAGTCTATGATTAGCTCTGATGGCGTCCAACATCCGGGATATGTACTGCAACACTCTTGAAAATTATTCAGTGAAAGCGTTATTACTCGCTAACGAGTTTCGCGACTCCGTACCGTGCTTTGCAGTAGAGAGAAGCACAGAGTTCTAAAAAGGAAGTAAGCATATCTTGGTAGAATGTGGTTTTCATGAGATTTATTTACATTAATAACTAAACCATCACTGTTACAGGAATTTAATTAATCAGTGCCATATTTTTATTGGGCTAATTGTACAGCAACGCAGCGTAAGGGCTGTGAGTTTAAACCAACATCAATCCTTGTGTCAGGAATTAATTGAGACCTATATTCCTATATTGTGTTTGCTAGCAAATCGACTAAGGTGATTGTACAATTTACGCAATCTGATGGAGAAAATATTTCACTTTTAAAGCATCGAATTTGCAATTAGGAGCGATGATTCATTTTTCTTTTTATTATTCCTATATTCATCTCTATTATCATGCTTTCTTTCTCATATTTCATTGATTCAATTTCACATTTATTCTATATCATCGTTTTCATTCGTTTGTTATGTATCCCATTATTTAACCATTTATTTTTCAGTCCATTATGCCTCTCGATCATTAGGTCCACCAACGTATTTCGGCTGATTAAGCACGCTAAAAAAAACCTTTGACCAGCAATAATAAATAGTTATTTGGTTTTTCGCCAGAATTTCCGGAATTTCCTTCAATGCTTTTGTACATACACTACGCATTCAACCAGAACATCGAAAATGAAATATTCAATGATAACGAGCGAAGAAATAATGAAATGTGATGGATGAAAATATACAGTTATATTGTATCTTGAAACTGTACCTTAATGGTCACGAGTTTTTCCTGAAGCTTTATACCCAACTCTATCTCAATAGTATGAATTAAATACTAAGCAATTCTTGTACTTCGATTTTTCCGGCTCCGTCTCGTATGGTAAGATTGCCTATTTTAGTTATACCGCCTGCCCTCACTTGTTATAAGGTATTCAATCATATTAACCTATTATATACACACCTGGTTCTCAATATAGATACATAGAATATAATAGTCTCAATATGAAAGGCCCTGTTAGTATTAAAAGCCCTCTGATTGGTCAGTTGTGGAGCATATGATACTAGACTTTCGTTTATTGTTTGCGAAGATAATATTATATTAAAATTGAGGGATTAAAAGTTGTTTAAATTAAGAAGTAAAATTGATGATCACTTTTAGGGAGGTGAGTCATTGAAGGCGCCATCAATGTCAGATAAAAGCGAAAAAGAGGTGCTTGGAAAACATCAGATATCAGGTAGGCCTGTCACAGCAATATTTCATATGAAATAACAGGTGTCTCTAGAAATGGAAATAAGACAGATCTTTTTATTCGTAGAAAATTAAGCCAGCGTTAAAACGATGAAGAAACTGAAGAAGAGTGCCAAAATACTAAGAAATTGCTGGCAAATTCCTGAATACCATAACTCAAGCTTAAAGTAGACAATCTCATGTACTCTATGGTGTTACAAACGGTTAGACTTCCAGGCAACATAGGCAACGCGCGGATTACTAGTGCACAAAGGCCATAAAAAGTAGTGAGATTACCCCAACGTGAGACCCTAGGCTAATCGGTCCATTCATACAGATTTCAAATCCTAAGACCTCAAGCTCCATTTAAGAAATATATAGTCCTATCAATTTACATCGTCCAAACGTTTGCTGACAAGCAATGTTTGACACTTTCTTGATCAATAAGGCAAGAACATATGGACAAGCTATTGTGACTAGAAAATAAGATACGAAAATGACAGCAATTGTTTTGAAAAGTACACAACAATTACCACGACCCATGCCTACCACCCACAATAATTTGATAGGGCAGCTCATAATATAAAAGAATAACATTTGACAACAACAGCTATCTACTATCTAAAAATGACAGCAATTGTTTTGAAAAATATAAACGATTATCAAGACCCATGCCTACCACCCACGACATTTTGATAGGGCAAACTAATTAAACAAAACGAAAAAGTTGACACAGAATAAGTCCCTTGTCAACACGTCATACATGCTCGTTAGGAAGTGACGTCACTCCTGGTCAAGCAAATTCAACATTGTATCTAATGAGTGCTGCGGTGTTATAACCTATATATCTGTTGATGTATAGTTTGTTTTCATATTCAATAATCTACTCCTAAGTAAAACAACAACAACAACACTAGTGCATATTATGGTCTGTTGGTAATGATTTCCGGCWGKTCAGTTRCATATTAGTGCATAAGACATTAGTGCACAAGCGCAGAGCAGACTGAGTATAGGACTGGAAGGCAAGAAGGTAAGTGTATATATATAAACACTTAAATCATCTTGTGTTGTTTGTTGTAGTCGACATTAGCGATATATGGATGTAAATTGGGATCACATTAGCCTGGATTATTAGATCACCTAGTTGACTTAGGGACATGTCCCTTAATTAGGCTTTGAATCATCGTAAAGTATCATTTGATAGCATTAGAAGAAACTGTTGCTTATAGGAAASTACTTTGAAATAGTTCTGTAAAGATTTCACTAGATTACAAGAGATAGATGTATAAGAACGGCCAAGTTTGATCTGTAGTTAGTTTATGTGCTTACTGTCACATCATGTAAAGTTCATTTAAGTCAGATTATTGGCACAGGACAATCAGCATAAGGCCTTGCTAAATGAAAGGTTGCAATATATCAAATATGACGCCAATATGCACCCTTTTCATCTCAATTTATCTGCGTGCTGAAAGTAGAAAAAATGCCAAACATGTCGTGAATATTAAATTAAAGTTTGTTTACTTTATGGTAAGATGAAAACAGTAAAGAGCGTTTATTTTCAATCAGTATTAGTATTTTTTACCATATATTCTTCTGAAAAAATACACACGTTTTTTAAGTCATTTAGCGATTAAAGGTCTTCATAAGAAATAAGTACATACTAGTTTCTAAATGAAAACAATGTCACACATGTTGAACTTTGTTTTAGGGAGTATAAGTATGTTTATTAGGGATTAAATCATCCATTGTTTCATATTATTACCAGCATTGCTGGAAAACCTTTGTAACTAGTTACATTTTAAGCGGTGTACTAAGGAGTCTATTAGAATGTAACTGATCAAGGAAATTAAATGGGATGTCCGCGCAAGAAATAAAGGACACCTTGTTTCTTCAGTGTGTTTAGATGACCTCGGAATACTATTTACAACAACTTCAGAAAACGTTGACGCCCGAAGATAGTATATTTCAATACCGAAATGCATTGTTGATCGTGGTATCATTACTCTGGCCTCGATGTTTTTTATGGTGGACCTTTTAGACTCTCGCCTCGACACTACATACATCACACACGGTTGTAAACGTTCAAATAGATTCATATATGTATAATTGGAAGAGAGGGGCGGTAGCGGAGTAGTAAATACCACACGCTTGGAGCAAAGTTCTTTCAAGTGTATAAAAACACTTTCGATGCATTACCAGTAAATACATTTTTCTTGATGTATTAACTTTGAAATAGACGTCGCAGAGTGACATCAATCGTATATGGCAAAGGAAAAAAGTTCTTATAAAAGCATCTGTACTCATCACATACTCGAGCACGATAAGATAATCCATTAATATCACATCAATCATTAATAACATTGAAAAATAACTATTAGTGATAAGCTGTCAAATGCATTATGGGTCTTAACCAACGGTGGAAATGTACTTGGAAATCTTCTTGAGAAAAGGGCCAGAAAATAGTAATTGGAACCAATCAATTTGGTTCCGAGAGTTGAAACCAATCATTTTCGAGCTGATAATAGACTAAAGCGATAGAAAATTTAGCTGAACTAGCTGTTAGAAACACTTGGATTTGAACACTTGACTTGTAAGTACGATTTGAATGATAAGCTAATAATCAAACTCATTTCCTGTCTAGAAGTAACCCTCTTCCGTCGTGTGTGACTTATTAATAGGACTATTGTGCTTACTGCGCATGCTCCAAACGCAAGTAACTTCTGCTTGTGGGGTGTCTGTAAAACACGGAACACCACCGGAACACCCCGGAACACCCCGGAACACCCCGGAACACCCCGGAACACCGCCGGAACACCCCGGAACACCGCCGGAACACCCCCGGAACATCTCGGAACACCAAAAATAAAAATAATGATAACAAATGACATAAAGTGTGTTTACTTTTAATTCATCGATCAATTACTTGACCAATGAACATGAACAAGGTACTATGGATATAGAATAACAGAATTCGATTGACGTTAATGTTAATGTTTCTACGGAGCTTGGTGGTCAAGTTTTTTCTTTTTTTGTGACAAGTCAATCAGAATAATAAAAGGGGGCTTTCGACCTAATCTAAAACGACTGCATTTTAAAACACGAAATCTGTGTGTGTTCATCTAAACCTTATCAGCCTTATAGACCAAGCTCCTTCTTGATAAGGTCCTTATGGCTTTGAACAAGACGGCAACTAATGTCAGGAGGACATATGCAAAAGTGAGGAATAAAATAGGGCTGTTTCTTTCTAATGCATTTCTCATTGCAGTGGAAATAAACATTAGAAATTTTGGACTGCCTATCCCCATTAGCGTTGGTGAATTCTCTGTTCATCTTTGACACGATGACTAGGTCGTACGGTGCTGCGCCAATGTGACCGTTGGGCTTAAGATACTGCATACACCCGTAGCATTTAGCCACCTGTGATGGGCAATACTGGAGCAGGTATATGCAGAACACACCAGGTTGTGGATCTGGATGTTTGGGTTTTTCTGCTGTTGTGACCGCAACTCGAGGTGTCCTTGAGGTGGCGAGAGATGATGTTCCATGGGCCGGGTTCCACGATGACGGTGCTG